TTTTTAACACTATCGGAAAAAAAATTTGTTAAAAAAAGGGTGATACATCAAAGTTCCTGCAATAATACACCCCAACAAAATGGAGTGACTGGACGGAAAAATAAGACTACTTGAAGTAGCAAGAGTTATAAATATTGAAATTTTGGATGTTTTAACCTATAATGACATAATATAATCTCATTGTCACTAAACATAGAGATAGAATTGAAACATGTCTCTTTTATCTTCACTTTCAAAAAACAATCTGTTGTTGAAAACATAGAAAGCACCATTATATCTAACACCTCCAATTATCCTTCCCAAGATTAAATCCTGAAATTCACACTGAGAGGACCAAAAATTAATTTGACAATTATGATCAAGGATTAGTTTACCGACGGACAACAAGTTATATGACAATTTTAGAATATAAAGAACATGTTTTAGAATTAACCTTCTAAAAAATGAACCATCTGCAAATTTTACCTTTTACTTCCCTGAACATGGCGAGTATGAAGAGAAAAAATGCAAAGAACCTACAATACGGTCAGTGGCTCCCGAATCCAATATCCAAGAGCTATTAAAGTTTGAACAAATAAAGGTTGCAGAAAGAAAACTACCTGACTGTACTAAAGAACAAGAAGGATTAGAAAGAGATTGGAACATTTTCTAAAAAATACTCTATCTATTTCTTTGTGAAAGGCAATGATTTTGGAGAAAATTCTTGCTCCAAATATGAACTGTCAGCTTGGAGAGCACAGCTGTCTTCCCCTGACTTGGTGTTGTTGTCTGGTTTCTTTTTTGAATTTTCCGGTTTTTCATGCAATTTTCAGCAAGTTTCTCAAGTATGTCAAGATCTCTTACAATGATCACACCATGACTGTTGTTTTCTCCCACGCCTTTCAGCATTTGAATTTGCATTACAAGCTACAAGTGCTGATTCTTCACCAATTTTTCCAAACTCATCGTTGTTTTTCAGCATCTCCTTTCGCCGAGCTTCCTCCCCTCGTATCTCTATAAACACTTCCCTTATTGTTGGCAAAGGTTTTTTTCAAAGTATGCAATCTCTACCCTCATCTAATTCTTTATTTAAGCCAGCAAGGAAAGCAAACACACAACTTCTTTCAATTTCTTTCCTATATCGAGCACCAGCATTAGAGCTTTCCCAATATTCATTTTCAAACATATCTAATTCTTGTCATATTGTCATCATATCATTATAATAGGTTGTCACCTCACGATCACCTTCTTACATTTTCCACATTCGAGTATTCAACTCATAAAGTTGGGAATAATTATTTAGATCCAAATAAGTCTTGCAAGCTGCATCCCACACATCTTTCGCTCTTGGTAGAAATATAAAAGATTTTTCCACCACTGATTCCATAGAATTGATTAACCATGCAGTCACCATTGAATTTTTCGAATGTCATTGTCGGTATTTGGAATCATTTGAATCAAGTTTGGTGACCTCACCATTCAAATAACGTAATTTACCATTTTCGTCAATCCCCAGCCACATCAATTGAGACCACTCAAGGTGGTTCTTTCCATTCAATTTGTGAATGGTAATCTGAAATGAATTTTCCGTGAGTAAGATAGCTAAAGGTGTAGAGGAGATAACCGACAGTGACTGAGAACCAATCCCTGTCGAAGAAGTACCACTTGTCTCTTCTTGAGGTAATATTCCAGAGCCAACCATGGCTGCTTTGTAATTTATGAACAAGTCCTAAAGTTCTAACATCATGTGAAAAAAATTGATAGAGAAAGAAAAGTGAAGAAAATTGTTTCCCTTATTTTCTGATTATGACATATTACATATATAGAGAGAAAACAAACTATAAAATCAGGCTAACAATAAATCCTATAAAATCTAGAATTTATTTAAATCCCGTAAAATTTAGAATTTATTTCAAACTTTCATATTTTAAAAACAAATCCTAACTTTCCAAACTTATCTCTACCGACAAAGAGGTTGAGAATCGGAAGGGCTTTAGGGTTTCTCTCTCATTAGAGAAGGAGGGTGTTGCTTGGCTGGTGGAGGCCCTAGAAGACATCTACTAAATGAAGGGTGGAAGATATTGGGGAAAGAATAGAATGGGAGAAACCAGAGGCTTTGGGTGGCACTCGAATAGGAATAGAAAATTTCTTGTGTTGTCAGAGGTAAAAAGAAAAACAACAAAGTGGATTTTCATTCCAGATGGAGAGCAAGCTGGAGGGCTGGTGGAAGCCGATGGAGGCAGTGTTTGTGTTGGCAGAAAAATCTATAGAAAATCCTAAGAAGAGAGGGAAGAATGTGGAGAGAGGAGGTAAAGAGGG